GGGACTTTCAACTCTTTAGCATGTTGCCTGGAGTGTTTTAATCCTAAAATCACCATGTACCCTCTCTGAAGAATCTGAGTTAAAATAAACCAGGGTGTTTAATGCCACTTGACAAAGGAAGAGAAAAGGAAGAGACAAAGGAAGAGAAAACTACCTTGAGCATCACTGCTTTTAGCTTTGTTCAGTTAATTCTCTTTGCTGGAGAGAACAGAAGGAAATGGTTTTAAATGGACAAAAGGGATTTGGGGTTAATGCAGAGAAAGTTGTTCATGCTAGTGAGAGTTGAGGCTTTAGTTTACTTGAGTCAACAAAAGTAAGCATAGAATATTATAGAAAATTTTCTTGGAACGAGTTCCTAAGCTCTTTTATTTAACTTTAACATTTATTTATACATATTTATTATCTGTTTTGTATCAGGAACTAAAAAGACAAAGGTGAGTGATAAATGTGTATCACTGAGATTATTGTAGAGATAAGGAACCAAAATAAACACACCAGGGTATAATTTCACACCGTAGTTAAGTCTAAAGGAAAAAACAAAGTCCAGAGACCTGATCTAGCCAGGGTGAGGTTGGAGGTTTCCCCAAGAGCAGTGCTGTTTGAGCTGAGATCTGAGGAATGAGGAAGGTAACCTAGGCAAGGTGAGCAGGAGGTGCATGTGACTGGCAGAGGCGAAGGTTCAGTGGGGAGAGCCCACACCCCCTCTCAGGAGCTTAGGGATGTTGGTCAGAGGCTGCCTGGAGAGGCAGGGGTGGGGGCAGGCCCCACAGGGCCTTGTTGGGGATTTGCACTTTACCTTTGGAGCAGTGAGACGTCAGGGATGAGTTACAGATGAAGGGTGACCACATCATACTTGCTTTTTAAAGTATCACTCGGGTGCAGTGAAGAAAACTGATTAGAATGACTAAGAATAGCTGTAGATGGGGCCGGGGATTTAGCTCACTGTTTCTGGCACCTGCCTCGAAAGCTCAAGGACCGACCTGAGTTCGATCCCCAGTACCAAAAGAAAAAAAGAATAGCTGTAGAGAGACAATGGTAATGGACGTGGAGCAAAATGCATTCAAGGGACATTTGAGAGAGGAAAACAGTGGTGCACAAAGATGGATGGGATAAAGGAATGGAGAGAAATGGGGTGCATCTAGACCCTAGCTTGAACAACCTGGAAGCTTCATTTTTTTTTCTAGACAGGGTGTGATAGACCAGGTAGTTGATTCTAGTATTTTGCTGGTTAGTGGTGGTGGATGAGTTGGGAGAAAGATTCAAGAGATTTTTCCTACACAGTGACTTTGAGATGCCCAAATGGAAATGCCGTGTAGGGGTTGGCTGTACTGACTTGGAGTTCTAGGAAGGAGCTTGTGTTAGAGAGATGAATTTGAGGGTCATTGGAAGACAGACGGTAATTTATGTAGGTGAGGTTGACCAGGGCGGTGGTTGTTTAAATATATTTCCTCCTACCAGCAGCATCAGCAACTCCTGGAAACTTGTTAGAAATGCAGATTCTCAGGTCCTGCCTTGGATCTGTTGAATCAGAAACTTTCAGTGGACCCAGCAATCTGTGTTTTTAAGGAGCTTCCAAGGTGGTACTGATGTACATACACTATAAAGTCTGAGAAGCCTCATCTAGGAAGAGAGAATTTGGACCTGGAGTGGTACCTTGGTGAGGCCTAACTTTCACAGTTTGGGAGGTAAAGGATAACTCTGCAGAATTGAGTAGGAAGTAGTTTTAGAGAGGTAGAAAGAATATCCAGGGGCCCAGAGAAGAAGGCGTGCAAAAGAGAGAGTTACATTGCTGACATGTTAAGTAAGATGCTTGCAAAAGTTCACTGGGTTTAGGTAAGTAAATCCAGAGACAGAACACAGATTAGTGGGTAACGGGGCTGGAGAAGGAGGAGAATGGGGAGTGACTGCAAATGAACACAGAGTTTCTTTTTGGGGTGGTGAAAATGTTTTGGAATTAATGGTGCTGAGGTTGCACAACACCAAGTATACTGAAAGTCACCGTACACTTTAAAAAGGAAATGAGTAACTCTTTGAAGATGCTTTGATTTAAAGAGGAAGCTAAAGAGAAGGTGGTAGCTGGAGGAAAATATGGAAGCAAAGTTTAGAACAAGTCGTTCTTTTTGAAAGGTAACAGAGACCTGAAAATGTTTAGATTCTTTGGAGAGGGGTCTGAGAGAGATGTGGAGAGGAAAGAGATAATCGATAGTGTTGAATAATAATATCACCCTCAGGGTAGGTAGTGACTTCCAATTAATAGAACATAGTGTTTTCCTAACCACGCAAATCCATTTCATTTTATAACACAGATGAGAGAAGTTTCAACTCCAGTCTGAATGCTGCGTGAGTGATAGGTACCTTGATGCCTTCCAGGGCCAATTAATTCTGTTTTCACATGGTGCTAACTATAGTGGGTTGAAGAAAATTCACAGGAAGGATTGATTTATACAGTGAGAAGTAATGTTGTTTTTGTAGGATGAAATCTCTCATTTTCGTCAGCGGGGCTTTCAGATCTTACTGAAGTCATTTCCTTCATTCTCACTTCCAGAAGGATCTAGTGCTGGCACCTTCCTAGCCTCCTGACAGTTACTTGGTCTTAATTATGTTAATTCTTTGATTTTCCTATGATCTGCTTAGTATTCAGTTTCCTTGGTCTATTTACCACTCATTTATCCTATTTCCAGCTTTCAAAATTCTACAGTTTCTCTCTCTCTCTCTTCCTCCCTCCCTCCCTTCCTCCCTTTCTCCCCTCCCTTTTTCCTTCCCAATTCTCTTTTTTTCTTTCTCCTTTCTTACTCTCCCTGTCCACTGGGGTTGGGGGGCTTTAAAAACAACTAATTGGGTATTGGTAGAGTCACAGGTTCAATCTTCCACCTTTACTTTATCTTTTTTCCTTCTAGAGAACATATAACATGTTGTTGAGTCTCTTCACTGATATTCTGTATTTATTCTCCTGTGACTGTGCATGAGCCAGATGCTACCAGTCAGCCATTTCTTTCTTGCCCTTTATATGGGCAGATATGGGGGCATGAGGATTCAGTGTGTAACGTGCCTAAGTTACCTGGCACAGTAGATGCCCAAAGAATTGCCATTTCCTTTCCTCACTCCAGAGGATATAACTGAATTTTATTGTATCCCTTATTGTAATTCATTTTGTAAACTTCTGTCTTGCCAGCCCACTGTGACTGCTTGCATCCTAATTCTGATGGCCATTAACCTTCCCTCCCAGGTTGCTTTGCAAGTCTGAAGATTTAACCAAGTTACCAGAGCTCTTTTCAGTCACTGGTAGCAGTTGTGGCTGTGATAGGTCCAGAGATGTCAGGATAGTCTCACTCCACCTTGCAGACATGGAGAAAGGTTAGGGCTGGCGCTTTCTCTGGTAGCTACTATTCATAAAGTTGTTTAGCTGAGTCTAGGGGTGGGAGGTACACTTGAAGGAATAAGGAGCATCTCCAGTTTTCATAATTCTTTATTTTGTTCTTTTAAAGTTTTGTTTTCTTTTATAAATTAAAGCAGAGTTTTTAACTAGATCTGGGAAAAGAATTTAGAGTTAGTGAATTTAGGTGAGAGAAAGATTATATCTTTATTTTCACTAGCCTTATAGTTTATAAGATTACATTCCATTATAAATGTTGAGAGTAAATTGTAGTGGAATTAGCACTGTGAGTGGCTTTGTTACAATAGAAATCATAGACATTTTTATGTCATATTACTGTTGTGATATCTTAAAATGTTATTCTCATTCTTTCTGTAAAAGCATAGTAGTGATCAGACCTGTCACTAAATCTTGTTATATATTCATCAAAAAATACATATAGAGGTTATTCTAAATTATGTTTTTATATATTAATAATTTTGTTAAATTTAATTGCATTTTCCTTTGAAGTTTCAGACCTTAGGAAACCTTTCTGTTAAGGCACTTGGCTAACTCACTGTTAGGCCCTCAGGATGCTGAAACTCAGCGATGCTGCTGTTGCATTTTAATTTGTGGCTTAGTGGCCATAAAGGTACCTTGGGCGGTTGGTGATTTGAAACTTCATTTTGCGTTAAGTGTGTGGAAACCTTTGAAGGCTGTGATCTCCCCAAGGAGCCTCCACCACTCTCCCAGATGCTGTACTGAGGTGTTGGGCACGGGGTTTTGTCAGGGCAAGGGCCGGAGGCACAGGCTCTGTTCCTTGGGTCAGCAGCGGGGGCTGGGCACACAGACGGGAGACTGAAGGTCAAGTTTCTTGCCTTGAATATCTTGGAACACTGCTAGTGTTGAAGCTCCAGGGGCAGTTCTTGCTTACCTGACCTGAACTTGATACTTCAGTTTTATGTTGCCTGAGGCAGATCTGCTAAGTTGCTCCAAAAACTTAAGTAAATAAAGTAGGAAGCCCTCTGGATGTAGCAGGTTTCCACTCTTTTTGGTAGAGCAACTCATGTTGCATTAGGAGCTCTCCTGCATTCCGGTGACTCTGAGGAGGTTGCTGGGGATTGTGACTGCATTTTCCTGAGTTTTTGTTTTGTTTTGTTTTGGTAGGGGAGGGATGGCATTTAATCCATGAAAATAGCTGCCAGGTTTTATCGACCTACATACATTGTCCCCTTACTTTTTATTGGTTGCATTTTCCATGTTTCTGGGGAGAGGTGATTCATCTGCCAGAATGCCTCTTGCCACGATGTTTTACTTAATAAAACAATCCAATTCACTGTTGGTAAGAGTAGTAAGACTCTTTAAGTGCTTCCTGTATGCCAGGCACTATGTGAAAGACTTTACATATTTTTTAATATGATCTGACTGCAATTTTATGAATGATAGTTACTATTATTAACTTTGTTTCATAGATGAGGAAACCAAGACTCCTACAGAGGTAAAGTAACTTGCTCAAGTCAGTGCCCAGAATGTGGCAGAGTGGGAATTGGACCCAACGCAGTTTGAAACATGTCTCTTGACTTAGGGATTTTATTATTTGAAAATTCTAAATGCAAGGTTTTAACATTAAGTTTATTTATGTTTATAGGGATGCTTCATTTGGAAATTGCACTTACAATCTCACCATCCTCAACTGTTTACAAGGAATCAGAAAGGTAATAACAATTTTTCTTGCTGTAGGTTGGTATAGTAGTTTAAAAATATTGAAAAGGAATAATCTCAACACCCCTTTCTGTCATCAGAGAGAAGAGAGGGGAGCTTGTAAGCTGAGGACACTTCATTTTCTGAATGATGATTAATTTAAGAAATATACTTGGCCCCCAGTGTCTGTGGGTTCCTCATCGGTGACTTAACTGACCTCAGATTGAAAAAACTAAAAAAATCCCTCCTCTCCCTGCTTCTGTACTGAACATACTCAGACTACTTCTTCTTCTCCTCCTCCTCCTCCTCCTCCTTCTCTATACAATGCAGTGGAGGAACTTATTATATAACATTTAATTCTATGAGGTATTATAAGTAATCTAGAGATGATATTAAGTGTACAGGATGGCGTGTGTAGGTTATATGAAAATACTTCATCATTTAATATATAAGGCTTGTGTATCTTCAGATTTTTGTGTCTGTGAAGGTTCTGGATCAATCCCCATGGATACCAAGCAAGGGAGACTGTATGGAAAACAGCAAACTAAGGAAAGAAGTGGAAGAGGTCTCCCTTTCTCATTTAAACTGTGTTCTGGGGCAAATTTGTCACTTTGCTCTGCTGTGGTGCCTGTGACATTGCTTTGTTACTCATTTAGCTTCATTATCAAGCTATAGCTTAGTGTGGGAGAGAAAGGAAGTTATCTAATCCCTGTTCTCTCCTGTTACTGGTTGTGCCCAGACTGCCTGAGTCATAAACTCTGGGTGTGGGGCCCTGCAGTGTGATTTTGAACAATCCCTCCAGGCGATTTGATGTACTATAAAGTTAGTTAGTTGTGGTAATAGAGAAGTTAAACTATATGATTTTTGGAACATGTTTAGTTTACAATCTGGAAAGTCATGCAAGTTATACAGTGAGTTCTAATGAGAGGTCAAAGTACACAATTTCATCTTGAGCAATGTTTTTTTTTTATCAGTCAAAGTGTATGTATTACACGACCAATGGGACTGTATAGAATCAGTAGTGGTTCTAGCTTGCTTCTTTTCTTTAATGTAATATAAAACAGATTTTGCTATTTTTCTAGTTGAGAAAGCCAGTGGGATAAATATGCTACTTGGCTTATCTATGTTTGTTTCTGACTTTGATATTTCACTTTATTTATTTTTGCAGTGCTAGGTATTGAACCCAGGGACTTGTACATGTTAGACAAACACTGTCCACTAAGCTATATTTTTACCCTGGATGCTTCATTTTTATCAGTGGTTTTAAACTCTCTAATACTTTAAAATAGTTTTCAAATATTTTTCTTTTCAAAAAAACTATGGAGATACCCTAGTCCCAACAGTATTCCCAAAATGCCCTTGAAGTAATACTAGTTAAGAGGTTTTATGGAGACATTACTCAACATGTAACCCATAATTATAGCATTTAGAAAGAATGCCTGAGGGGAGAATGTAGTTTATTTTTTGTCATTATTATTATTATTATGCCTTTCCTCCCATCTGGTACAGGCTGTTTCTTTTATAACACTTACGAAATTCAGAAAGAGTTCCCACCAAATATAACTGCCCATTATTATGGTAACTGGTATCTCAATATAGAAATTTATGACATCCTTCCTGTTGTACAGGAAAGGTGTGACTCTATTCACAAATAAAGGCTTCTCTAAACTTATTGTTTCATCAGATGTTGGGGATTGCCCAAATATAGATGAGATTTTAAGAGATCTAGTAGATTTTTCAACATGCCTTTAGGCAACAGATACATTGGCCCATGGGCACTCCCTTACAGAAGACATCACCATCTGGGCTATTTTTGTGACAATGAGTACCTTTCTGAGAGTGTATACAGAGTATACCAATTAAAAAAAAAATCCCCGGTACCAATTAAAAAAAAAAAAAAGCTGGATGTACTGGTGCTTGGCTTCCTACTTTCTTTTTCTATTTTCAATGACCTGAACATGTAACTTTTAAAGGTACCTGTGGTTTTTGTGTTTTACTGTAATTTGTATAGCTTCGCAGCTTATCAAATAAAAGATTCTTTGTCTGCCCAAAAATATTAGATCTGAATAAGCCAGGTAATTTTAAAAGTTCTAAGTTATTAGTTACAAAAATAAGTGAAGTTTTATGTTGTTAAAGATATCAGTTCTTCTAAATTGCAAAAGCAGACAAATATACTTACTCTATCAGAAATATCACAATGAAACACACTCTTTCAAAGTTGAAGTTCTATGAACAAATCAGGGCTTATTAAATAAAAATGCCCCTTTCTGGGCCGGGGATTTAGCTCAGCGGTTCTGCTGCCTGCCTTGCAAGCGCAAGGACCCAAGTTAAATCCCGGGTACCAAAAAAAAAAAAATGCCCCTTTTTGCTAAATATGAAAATGGCAAACAAAATTTTCTAATAGTAATAGATTTTTCTTCTGAGAACTTAATCGCCATGATATGTTTGATTATAGGTATAATTCCCAATAGGTTTTCATTATAAATTTGCCAGTACATTTCAGCTTGTGTGCATTATTATATTTACATATAAAACTAATTTAAATTAATACGCAAGTGGCATCTTTTGTGGGACATATTTTCATACTGTTTAGAGTGCTGAGCTCTGTTTCCAGGACAGTACTGAAGCAAAGTTATCAGTTTTAAATGATTTCTAGAGTTGCATTAAAAATCAAAAGTTTCAAGCTCTTACATCTAAGATCATTTTGTAAATAGCAATTCCAGAACTGATAAATATATTTTATCAACTTTGTGTGAAAAATCTAATTCAAATTCTGCTTTTAGGGATTACAACATGGATTTTTTGACTTTGAGACATTTGATGTGGATGAATATGAACATTATGAGGTTGGTAAATTTAATATTTGTGGAAAATACAATTTCACGTTAATAAGACTTTGGTTTTCGTCTAACACTGTGGCATTACAAATTGAGTGGTTGTTAAAATCATTTGTGAGATTTTTTTGTCCTTTTAGTTGTCATTTTTGTCCTTTTAACTTTGTTATTTCCTTTGAACCAGGAGTCATCAAAATTTTAATTTGGGAAAATGCCATATTTATATCTATTCTCTTAGAAAAACTTTATTGACAAACATTTTGCACCTTTAGTTTATAAGAAAAACAGTTTCAAAGTATAGTTTTGCTAGTATGTAAGTCATTTCTATTTTTTATTAATAAATAACCAGGTGTGGTAGCACATGCCTATAAAACTAGCACTCAGGAGGCTAAGGCAGGGGGATTGTCACAAGTTCAAGGCCAGCCTGGACTACATAATGAGTTCAAGGTCAGCCTGAACTCTAGTGAGACCCTGTCTCCAAAAAAAAAAAAAAAAAAATTGTAAATTTGTATTTTATAATACTTTTTACCCTAGACATTTTAATTTGTTGTTTTAAAATTTTTTTTTTTTTTGGTTTTCTAGACAGGATTTCACTTCATAGTTAAAGTTGACCTTGAACTCACTGTGTGGGTCAGGCTGACCTCAAATACATGGCAATGTTCCCGCCTCTGCTTACAGAGTACTGGGATCATAGGCGTGTACCACCACACCTGACTTACATTTTATTTTGAAATATGACTGAATGTACTTAGTTCTAAGAGTTGGCTGAATTTTTTCCCGGTGGAATTATTAGGAAGGTTCTGGAACATTATCTTCTCTGGCCAGTGACATAGCATGTAGACAGTGACTGTCCAGCTGGGTAATGCTGTAAGGAGACATTGAGGAAAGACACTTTCTGAGTAGAATAAAGACAATTGTAGAAGTAGTAAACTTTTTCTGAAAGTAAAAGCCTGTGAAATGTGAAGAGCCTCGGCATTTTCTGAACATGAGCTCATCTTTTGGGCTTTTCCAGGGGAGTAATAAAAATTTATCACTATCCTTAGTAAGACCAGGGCAGACCTTACAGTGAGGGATCTAGTCCAGGAACGGTCTGGACCAGAATTTGAATACCCTGCTGACGTGTTAAATTTAACACGCCTGCAAAGAAACTGATCATCTTTCACTCCAATTTGGTCTTCTGATTTGTTTGACTGTGCTAATAGTGTTGCCATCCTACTGTTCACCTGAGCTCAAAACTAGATCATCTCCTTTTTTATTTTTGTCCCTCGTCTAGAGTGTTTGAAGTCCTGTCGCAGGTGCTACAGGATATATTTTATCTCCTTCCTTGTCCCTGGCTCAGGTCTTACATCTTCTCCTTTATTATAATCACTCCCTACCCGAGGTCGGAAGTCTCCTCCCAGGCTGGTTCTCCACGCCTGGCTGGGAGATCCTAACACAGAGGTCTCCTCTTGTTCTTAGCCCCAAGCTGGCTTTCCTCACCCCGCCCTGCTGAAATGGGGATACACTCCTCTGTCCTAGTGTCCTCAGCTGCATTGTGTTCCAGCCTACCTTTCTAGCCACCTCTCCTGTTTCTCTGCCATATGCACTCAGTGTTCCAGCTTCTCCGCGCTGCTTATTTGCCTTTCTCAGATGTCTCTGTTTTGCACCAAATCTCCCTTAACTCTCGCCTGCTCCAGTCCTCGCATGTTCAGACCCTGCACAAACCAGATCTCACCTCGCCAGTAGCCCACCCCCTCAATTTCATGGTTTTAGTTTGTACTTCCACCTTTTTCTCACTTCTTGTAGCTCTTTGTGTACAAACTTTATTTTCCTTATTAGATTGCAAATTCCCCGTGGTGGAGATATGACCAAGTGGAAAAACATGTATTGTGTTCCTGGACAGAACATCTTAATATCATAAAATTGATTGTTTTTCCAAAATTAGTAAGTTCAAGGCAATTTATTAAAAATTCCCTGAATATTTTTTCAAATTATGCAAGCATTTATGCAAAAGAATTCTTTCTCCATAATACACAATAAAATAAAAAAGGAGATAAAGATATACACACTTATTAGGGAAAAGATTAGGTAGGTAACCTGCAGCACATATACATAGATGATGATGGGATGTTAGGTAGTCATTTTATTTTGTTTTTAAATTTTAAAAAGTTTATATCAGTACATGTTTGTAGTACATACTGATTACATTCATCGGGGGAGTTGGTACACATAAATAACACATCTGAGTTCTGTAGTCATTTAATTTGGTACTGGAGATTGAACTCAGGACCTTGGGCTTACGAGGCAGGTGTGGTGCCACTGAGCTAAATCCCGGCCATCTGGAGTACAGTACTTGTCTTGGGATGGTTTCTGTAATACATTATCAAAAATGTGCTTATAGTACTCTTTGAAGAAAACAAAATAGTACTAAGACACTCTCATCCCATATTGTATGTGTATGATTGTATCATATGAGCAGAGGTGATTTACTTCGAGGCTAATGAAGTTTAAATTTGAGACCTCCCACTTGCATGGGTACCTTTCAAGAAGACTTTGAAGTAGCACTCATAGTTCGCCCTCAGTTAACTTTTGTTTTTCCTCTTTTTGGTAACTGTCCTTATCAAACAAGGCCTTGTGTGAAGACTACCAATCATTAATGGTGCTGTTAAGCAACCATTATTCATCGGAGTACATACTTGAAGTTATAGTTGTAGCTTGACATTCCAGTTGTCCCCAGGGGCCTTCCTACTGTTTACCAGAAGACTTGCTGTCCCTATGTTGGCCACCACAGGTGAACTCACAGAAAAGCTCACCTCCCTCCATAGCATCCATGTATTCTTGTGCCCCATTCTGCAGAATTTGCCATATTTGACTCTTACCACAAGCTTCCATTTCCGTATTTCTTAAATGAATTATCTGCACAACATTTCTCATTGATCCACTGCAGGCTGAATGTGGAATATTTTGCTCCTGAGACATTCCAGCACCTTATTATTATTGGTTATCATTATTGTTCTCTTGACTTAATGGATGCTCTTTTTGAGAAAAGAGCGTTGCTCTTTGAGAATGTGATTTGACATCTTTGCCACATCACAGTGCAACTTACTGGGAGCTGTTTGTGAGAAAGCAGTGGTCCTTTCTGGATGCTTGGGGTGGGTCTTGGGCCTCTTCTGTCAAATCTTTACACTATTATGAGAGTGCATGATTGTATCATGCCCCTGTTTTAATGCCACAGGCTCCACACTGACTAAAAGTAGAAGGGAAATGCAAACTTCTTTCTGTGGCACAAAAGTCGCTTCTCCCTCCTCCCCACTCTTGTCCTTCGAACTCCCTCTTCACACCCACATCTGTGCACTCCCTCCTCCTTCCTGAGAGCCCTTCTTTCTACCGCTGTATTTACTCTTCTGACTGTGAAGTCATTTTCAGTCTTAAAGAAGCTCATCTCATGCAGCATTGTGTGAACTCTGTTCACACATCGGTGTCTTCCTTGGGCTGTGGGTACTTGTGGGTGGGAACCAAGTCATCTACATCTTTGTATGAATAGGTAACCTAGTAGCACAGTACACTTTCAGTGGACAGTCCTGAAATGTTTCTGGAATGGAAGAACTAATGAATAAATGACTGAATGAATACTAAAAACAGGAGTATAGTACATTTTAAGATTTTTTTATGTGATCTGATTTTAGTAGAAAGTGACCAAGACTTTTAATTAAGAATTCATTGTAATTTTGCACTAACACTCCAGGGAACAAAGTTTTTTATGGTGGACAACTTCTTGAAATGATATTTCTGTCTTTCATCATCAGCCAGTTTATGCTGGGAGAGTGTAAATTTTTTTAAAAATCAGTTATTTGCAACACAGATTGTTAGTGGTAATCTAAGCCTAGGTCTGCATGTAACATCAATTGAATTTACTGTCTACAGAGAACTGTCTCTAGGTTGGGACAGCTCTTATGTTCTCCAATTTACTTCTCATAAGTAAATTGTCAGACTGACTAGGTGCTGACTCCTGATTTTCCCCTGTTGCACATCCTTGAGAAGCAATGAAGTTGGTTAGGTTTCCCATCTCAGTGAGTCCCCTCAGGTCACCAGCAGGAGTCAGTGTTGATGAACACTTACAGTATAATGTTTCAAGGCTTTGCTTTGGATTAGAATTTGTAGAGCAAACTAGAATTTAAGCTAGCTGCTGCTTGTCTGCCTTCATTTATTCATGAGTTGTGATCTGGAAAAATGGGAGCTCCTGTCACTGTAATTATGAATTCCTGCCACAAGACTGAGGTCAAGCAAGCATTAGGATGCAGGTGTGTGGACATGGCCTCCCCATCTGGAGCAGTTAGACAGGTGTGCTTCCCATGGTGATTTGGCTAATAGAGGATCTACTGGAAGCATTCCCCTGGAGCCATCCTCTAGTATTAATTACATCACCCAAAGGCCACAAATATAAGGAACCAAATCCCATCCTGGCCACTGAAGCTGCTAAAGTAAAGGGACTCAGTGTTTCCACATCTGCTAATTGCACCCATTGCTAGTTAAATATCATACTGGTTAAGACTGTAAAATGTCTACCATGTCCTAAGCAATTTCCCATGTCTTTCTTCCCTCTTTAATTTTTTAATTTTTTGTTTGGTTTTCATCCTTTCTTTTACCACCAGACTTCTTGAGAGAGCAGTCTCTACTCTATCACTGTTGTGGCCTGGCTTCTATCTTCACAACTCTACTGACACTATTCCTGCCAGCACAGGAGTTAGCAGAGACTAATGGCTGTGCTTGGTCTTCTTCCCTTTGTTTTACTGTGTGGCTCTCTCAATTCTGGACGCTCACTTTTCTTTCCCTCCCATCTCTGGCCATCTTTCTCAATCCACCTTGCAAATCTTTTCCGCTGCCCACCCTGACACTCTGCTATTCAGTAGAGCCTTTTGATTGCTCACTAGAGACTTTCCATGATCGAGTGCAAGTTTCAACAACATCATATGTGCTGCTGTCTCCAAATCTTCATGTCACAAACACCGGGCATCAATAAATTTTTGCTCCCCACCGTTGTGTCAGCAGAGATGTTTCCTGGTCCTGATGTTGGGCCAATCCCCTCCTTTCCCCTTGGCCCCTGCAACTGTCTCTCCCTCCGTCAGATGTTGCTAGCAGAGATAAAGCAACCATCCACATGGGACATTCCTCCTCCTCCACCACACTGTCTCCCTCAAAAGCAGAACTAAATTAATAATCTAGAGTTTGATTATTATTTAAAGCCAAAGGGCATGGAAACTTAATTTAAACCAAACAATTCAAATGTTTACTTTGCTTTAAGCTCATAAAGTACCCATCTTTATAACATACTTGCATTTACACAATACAGCTGTACTGTCAACACTAGTTAATTGTTGAAGAAATTAGGGAAATATAAAGACTGTACTTTTTAAATGAATTTTTAAAAGGACAGTGTAGTTATATCATGCTTAACTTTTAAAATAGTTTTTATGCTACTGTTTTACCAATGGTATTTATCAAAGTTTAGAGCAACTGTATCTTTAACGGATAAAATGGAGATGATAACTCTTACCTTACAGGGTCACTGTGAAGACTGAGTGTACAGAAGAGAGTAATTCCTTATACAGAGTTGTCGGGGTCTATGAATATTTATGGCTCTTATTATTACTGGTTTTGGTGTTCTCTTTTGTCTTCAGACTCCTCAAAGTTAGAGAATGCTTTTTATTTTATGTGCAACACCAAGTTACAGTCTTTCATATATATTAAAGGGTCAGCAAATGTTTGAGGGTTGAACTGTGCTTCAAAATTGCTTATCCATATTGTCTGAGAAAGCATATGTCGATAGAAGGAAGCAGTCTTTTGACTGGCAGCTTCAAGGACTGTCTAATCTTACTGTAGGTTTGTCACGATGGTAAAAAGGCCAAATATTTTTCAGTGTTTGGACTTGAAAATGTATTTGTGACAGTCAATCACAAAAAAAATAAATCAGAAGCACAGATGTATTTCTTAGAAGTTGTGTAAGTTATACTTTCAAGTCAAATTATATTTAAAGTGCAATGGGAGAGTTATCTTTATCTGTTCAAAAGAAGTCTCCTGAATCTTTTGTGGACTAAAGATTCCTATAGTAAAGTAAATAACAGTGCCTAAACTGATCAGTTTTGGAATTCACACTTTTGCTTGGGGATTTTCTTATGGCATAGAACATCTGTTGTTTTTCTAGATAGTATTTGGTAAGTAGGAGGCTTTACATTGGACAAGCCTAAATCCTACTCCTACCTTATCCTTGCTGAAACACTTCTTCACCAAATGAGCAGGGTGGCAAAGTACCTTAAGTTCTTGTCTGATCTAAGTTTGTTTGAAAAGTATGTGTGTTTAATTAGAAAAACTAATTTATGTCACCTAAAATATTCTATTATTGGTACATCTTAGCATTTGTACAATTACTGTGAAAGAAGTTATAGATACTAATTTCAAAAGATTACCAAAGTACGCTTACTAGGTCAACTAAAATGTGTAACTTCAGTTTTTTTCATAGTTAAATCTAATATTCTAAATCCCTTTGCTGATTCCATTAACCTTATTCGGCTGTTAAATATAGCCCAGTATTCACTAATGTTTATCTTCTTGAATAGGAAGATTTGTAAGCATATTCGTTTGGTTCTTCAAGGGAACATTTCTTAGCCAGGCCACTGCCTCTGACCCATATGATTGATTATAAAAGTTACTATTTAACCAAACATATCTATAATTCAAATAAACAGATATAGAACAGTGTTTCTCTCTAGCCTCCTTGGTGGCCAAGGATATGGAAGTAGTGAATGTGGATGCCTGATTTCTCCTACTGTTCATAAAGAATTGGTTTCAATCTTTTGATGATTAAAACGTTTCTTTATTCTTGAATTTCTAAATAGTGTTTAAACTCAATAGTTATTCAGGAGGGCATTGGATCATTAATTTGAGACTTTTTTTAAAAAAAAACAAGACTATGTTCAATGGCTGTAAAGAGTTGCAGATTTGATTTTCTTTTCAAATTGCTGTAAACAGATAGCTATACTTGTGGATTCTTAACACTCATAGTGTCTCTGAGATTTTACTTAGGGCATTATGAGATCTTATGTTTATTACAACTATATTGACGCATTACAGTGATTTACAAGGTGTCATGTAAAGTTTCATCTAGGATGTCTTATGACCGGAAAGAAACATCAGCATTTTAAAAATTTAAACTGTATAGCAAGCTTTGATTTTCATTTAGATGATAATGGGTAATATAAGTAATTAAAGTAGTGGCTCCAGATTTCCTTGATGACATTATTCTAAGTTATTTAACACAATTCATTGAGTTCTTTTTAGCAGAGTACAGACTGTATTTGGCTCAGCTCTCTCCCTATGGAGGTCCTGACCATTAATGGAGAAGAGAGGCTTCTCTACATAGTTAGCCATGGATGGCTCCACGAAGAGAACTATGTTGCTTCCCTTCTCTGAGGATGGAGACTGGGGCAGTGTAGGTGGGGTGGGCTAGAGAGAAGGTGTCAGTAAAGAGGTACTACATGTATTTTATGACACATTGCACAGATATCTCCCAATTTCCTGCAAAATCTTGGGTAATCTTAGTCCTGCCCCAGTGTCCCATATGTTCAGAGGCCCATGGAGGAAAGAACAAAATAGAGGTGCTAATGGAATGGTGGGAAGGTAGTTGGCCCCTTTCTTGGTCTCCAGGACTTTTCTGAGGATCCCTTTAGGAGTTCATAGGTTCATGGCTGAAAACTGGTAATCAAAGTCAGTTGACAGGTATGTACTATTTGGTTTCATAGTATTTAAAAACCTAATTGAAAATAGTCAAAATTTCAAAGCTAAATTTTCTTGGAAATCTAGATGGAAGGTCAGCCAGTCAGATTTCCTGCAGGGTAACTAATTAGCTAAAGCTGAGGAACTCCTACCTCTGTTGCTGACCCTCGCTTGGGTTTGCAGCCCCTCTGCAGGAGACCTTGGCTGACTGGTTTGTGGTACTGTCCCAGTTTTAATGACCTCAGTTCCTCTCTCCTGCCTCCTTCCCTTTCCCAGTCTTCAAGTGAGCATTGACAACAGATGTAAGCCCATAAAAACAGAATCAATTTGGAAGTGTGTTCATCATAAACCTGATAATTAAAGTTTTTATCATTAGTTAAATCTGTATACTATGTTCATGAAAAATCATTTGCATTTTCTTTTACCTCTCTATACTGATGGCACCAGCAATGTTCGTTTTCAGTTCTTTGCCAGGAGACAAATTTACTTTAAGTAAACTACTTCCACCTTAAATAAATTAACTTTCTATATAATCTAAAACTTTTCATAGTCTAAATAGGAATTTTTCTCAAATGAATTGAATTAATAAATAACATTTTGAAAATCAGGTGCCTGTTTTGATTGTAAGGTTTATTACTTTGTCTTCATGTTTACTTAGAGTGTGAAAAGTGTTTTCTTTGTAAAGGTTTCCTAAATTCCATAAGAATTATAAAATATTTTTCTTCTCTTTTTTTTCACAAAATTCTTCCAGCGAGTTGAAAATGGTGACTTCAACTGGATTGTTCCAGGAAAATTTTTAGCATTTAGTGGACCACATCCTAAAAGCAAAATTGAAAATGGTAGGTTTTCATTGTTTCCTTTACCATCCAGAATTTTATTTCAGTTCTTTCTCAATTTCTTCTGACAACCTTTTTCCTGAGTAATTTTCTTCTAAGAATATTTATTCATTTTAAACATTGAATAGTAGCAGCCAGTGTGTTAAATACTAAACTTCCAGTAGGCGGAGCAGTAGTCATTGTTTCCAAACTAACATGTTTTTGATTGCCATACATAGGATGTTCACTTTACCCTGTTATTAAAGAATCGGAGAAACAAGTTAATCAAACCAATAAATAGATTGCTAAATTCTGTCAGTGGTCCTCAGATTTCTTTGGCTGTGGAGTGTGCTATACATCTTGGTATTCTTCGGGGAAACATCGTGTTGAATGATGATGATGATGGTGACCTTCTCATTTTTTGAGTACTTTCCATGTAATCACAGTCTTATCACAGTTAATGTCCACACAACTCTTAAGATGTAGATACTCCCATCTGCATTTTACAGAGGAGGAAATTGAGGCTGATTAAGAGGGGATTTGACCATGGACACATAGCCAGAACTGATACTCAACCCAGACCTGAGCTTCTCAGTATTGTTTCCCTACTGATACGTTGAGTTTCATTGTGGTGATAAGTAGCAGTTTTCCAGCTGACAATAATTAATTTGTAGTATATGCATATCCATAAGCATACAGTCAGGAACATTTTTTAAAATGCAAAACAGAATAGACTTTTTCAGTGAAACATGATTAGCTATGCTTTGCCATTAATTCTTGTTTCCTACATATTCATTTTTCCATTTGTTAACACTACCTAGATGATAAGTAATGATAGACACCAAGAACTTAAAACTAATTTATGAGAAAAGTGCACAAAATTGAAAAAACGTAATCTGTGAACATAGTGGGTCCTATTTTGCTGTCTATCTTTTCATAGAGGCGGAATACCATTTTTCTGGGGGAAGCTAATTTGAAACCCCTCCTCTAGATTTATTCTTTCATCATCATCATAATCATCATCATCACTTCTTCTAAAATCTAGTCTCACTGTATATTTTTATTCATGCATTTAAATTTGATAATTTGAGTTTCCACAAATATGCTTTTCATTTCATGTCTATGACATTTCTAGCAGGGAACGCTTACTTGAATCATGTTTTTTTCTTGTGGATGGGCATTATGGGTCTAGAGAGTTAAGGTCACAAACAGGAGACCTCTATAGTGAAGCTGGGATTAGATCTTCCTAAGCATGAGTTTGGTAATACATTTCTTTTTGTTCTGGATATTGATTAATTCATCTCTGTCATGTTGAGTCATTAGAAATAAGAGGTGGAGTACCTGAGGAATCTACTTTCTAACATTGATCTTTCAGGACAGGAATGATTAAGCTAAACTTCTTGCAAAATTATGTAACTCAGGCCCTAGAAATATTAGTAGGAGTATTGTCTCAGTTGTGACCTTGTTTTTGGGTATACATTTGGCAGAGTTGAAAGAACTTACCAAGTTTTCTTACAGAGAGTATGAGAGGCATAATTTTTTTTTGGTACTGGGGATCAAACTTGGGTCCTCGGAGAGGTATAATTTTTAAAAGTAATTTAAAATATTTTTACATAGCTAAAATTCTTATTTTTAAAAAAGGAAGAAAATGCTAATGAACTAATAAAAAGAAGATAAAAATACGCTATAATTCTGCCCAAGTTTACTAGTTGGAGGTAGGACTTTTGGCACTTAATTGCTTCTATTTGTTTCCCTTCTTTTGTTTCTTCTTGTGCACATCTTACTTTTCAACTCTTTCAGTGTATATGTGCGTTGTATATGTCTATGTACACACAAATTTATTTTTCTTTTTTTTACACAAATGGGATCATAGCATAGTTTGTCTCATTGCCAACTTTTTTCACTTAACATATCACACAGACTTCTTTCTGAGGCAGTACATGTAGATCCATGCTGTCATATTTCATGACTTCAGTGTTTATTATTCTATTGTGTGACTGTGCCATAATTTTGGTAATTTATTTTGAATGCAATATAAACTGCTTACAGTTTCTCACTTTCTCAAAACTGGTATGGTTGGCATACATAGTCAGTTTTTTGCGGTTCTAATTTCCTCTCCAAATTCTTAGAAATAGAATCACCAGATAAAAGGATAAGCATAGTTTGTGAAATTGTTTTTCATGCTGAGGATTAAGATTTTATTTTTGATCCCACTTTACAACATGGAGAAAGAATTATAGCTACCACTTGCTTATCTGCCAGGGATGGAGCTCAGCCTTTTGCATACACATCCTCTAATGATCCACCCTGTCGAGTAGGTGGTGGTTATTTTTTGGAAGAGGAGGAGACTGAGAGGAGTTATCTATTGCCCAGACTCACACAGCCAGTATGAGGCAGTGTGTGGACTCAAGCACAGCTCTATTTGATCGCAAATGTATTTTTAAAAATTTTGTTACAGAGAACACACATGCTTGCCATAAAAATTTAAGCAATACAGATAAAGAATAAAAGTCAAGAAGTAACTAGTGCTAAGATACTGCTCTACATACATCTTTTGTCCTTCGCATAAACTGTGCCCTCTCGTATTGAGAACAAAAGATCTGAAAGTTCTGCTTGCATACTAGTCATTGACTTTTATGATGCCTACAACCATTTCATTTGTTTACATTTTACACTGGAATCCTCATTTTAGAATCTGATGTTCACTAGGACCTTTATCTTTTTTTAAATGGGCTTTAACTTTGTAAATACTTTTTGAATTTAAAGTCTGAAGCTCCAGCCTGCTCTTTAATGAATTAACAAATTTGATTCAATTACAGTGATATCTTGGTACAGTCTTTTGGGTTTGTTTCTTTTTAATTTTGAGAAACTCTTTGTTTCCTGAGGAGGCTGAAAGTTATTTCAGGGGTTTGTTAGTAGAGAAGCTAAGATTTTGGGGGGAACTAACAATCAAATAACTTTTGCTAGGATGTAGCAAAAGGAAGCCATAAATCTTGGGGTTGTGGCAGAATGCATTATAAGAGAATTATGGGTGTTTTTGTGTCAACAGAGAGCAGCTAGAAGGTTCATTCACATCCTGATTCACATTGTTTTGACAGAGGAGAAAGAAAAGCTCTGTGTTTTGTTTAATTATTTTGAATTGATAAAAGAATGATAGCAGTAGAATGAACCAGATATTTTGGATTTCAGAGTTTAGAAAATCTTTTAATTGGCAGTGTCATTCTCACATCATTCATTCATTCATTCCTTCCTTTTTGTGATGCTAGGGTTTGTCCTGAGCTGCATTTGCAGCCATTTAAAAAAAAAACTTTTATTTTGAAGACAGGGTTTTGCTGAGTTGTTCAGGCTTGTGATCTTTCTGCCTCAGCCTCTGATGCTAGAATTACAGGTGTCTGTCACTGTGCCTGGCTTCATGTCTGTTTACACATGCACACTCACACATGGGTGACATGGCTGGGGTGAGGGATGTATATACTCTGAGATCGAGAATCCCAGCAATCTGAAGCACCAGCCTGCTCTTTAATGAGAAGCACAGTACCTGGGCAGGAGGAAGCCTGGCTCCTCGCTCCCTTGCTGGCTATGTGAACTTGCTACAACCTTCTCTCATCATAGGTTTCCTTGAATGTCACAATGGGGAGAATATAATGCACGTTACAGGCATCTTAGTGAGGATTAGAGATGTTATATCAGGGCCTTGATGGTATTGGGCCCATGATAGTCACTTATTAGGCAGCACATCTTATGATTGTATTCTTATCATTAATGAAGTTTATAAACATAGTTTGTCTTTCTACATTTGCCTACCCATTTTGGAGTTTTTAATAATGACTAGGTGGCCTAGTCATTTAACTCTGCTGTTCTTCAGTTTCCTAAGTTTAAAATGAGGAGTTTGGAAGAGAGGAATTTGAAAATCTCTTTCATCTCTGGAATTGTTTTTGTTGGGTCAGCACAAAGCCAGGGCTGTGCCTGGGCCTTACTGATGCCAGGGCACCTTCTAGTGGCCAGATGGAGTAAGGGTTGGATGAATGCTCCAGTCATTCTCAGAAGTACTGTACACATTGCAAAAACCAGTCTCCCACAAAACATGTCCAAACACATTGACAACACCCACAAACAGTTGTTGAGAAGGCATAGGATATTTTAATATTTTGTTTAAAATGAATTGAAATCAATTTTAGCAATTAAAAAAATTCATTCACCAACTCTAAGAAGTACAGCCCCTAATGTTCACATCGTGTTCTCCTGTTTGGAGGCCTAATAGATGGAGGCAAGTTGAGTCTTCTCAGTGCCAGTAAAGATGACGGAGTCAGATAACCAGAGTTCATTTTTACCTTTAGGCTATAAATCCATTGCTGGGAAATAATTTGAGCAAATAAAGCAGACTTGATTTTTGCAAGTAAATCAGCATGCGTTTTCGTGTGTGGGTATAAGTTGCTGTTTCCACACGGATGTTAATTGAGTTCCATATTACCTGATTGCTCAAAGGTAGCATGGCCTGTGAAAATCATGTATTTGGGCTGGAGTTAGGCCTGCCTTCCAATCCAGCCTCTGTTTTTTTGTGTGACCTTGGCCAAGTCTACTAGTTAGGGCTCTTGCTTCCAGGTGGTAGAAGCAACTCTGATAAATTAAACTAAAAAGCCATTCATTGGAATATGTTGGGTAACTCACAGCCTGCAGGTTGAGTCTGGCAAACTGGCAACCACACTGGGTATTCCAAACAGGGAACTGCATACAAGGAGCTTGTTACAAAGAAGACTAAAAAGTCAAAAAGGTAGCACCAGAGAATCCAGAATATGATGGAAAAACAGGTGGTGCCTCAATGCTGGGGAGACAGAAGGGACAAAAGGGAGTTACCAAAACTGGGAGCACCGGGAGAGGCTTGGGAGGCTGGTGCGGAGCCCCCCGAGGGGGAGCTGTGTGCCTGCTGGGTGGACTTGGGGTATGAGGAGTGGGGCTGGGCATGGGGCCCCAGATGTGCGCAGCAGTGTCGCTGGGGGCGCCCACTCGGCTGGAGCTCTGGCAGCCGCTGCTTTCTGCTGCTGCAGTGATGCTGACAGAGCAGGAGAAAGGCCCTCTCCTCTGCTTGCCCTACAGTGCCTTCCAGTTTTAGAGTCAACAGGAAGGCAGCTAGGAAGGTAGTCTGGGAGAAGTACTGTATGGACCCCAGCACCACCGCCACAGAGCGGGGTATAAGAGAGTTGATGGAGCGGAGAGAAAATAAGAAATGACCAGCACAAAGCAGCGTCCAAGGCAGGCAGCAACACAGCCAAGGACACAGTGTGGAAACTTCTGGTTCACTTCACAGGCTGCCCTTGGGGTCCACCATTGTAAACAGATTCCTAACAAGGCCATTTCACTTACCTGGTATGCCAGGATCAGTGACCCTGAGTTGATTACAGGTGTGGGGGTCACTGTGCTGAGAAATTGGTCCCCCATCCCTTGGGGCTTCTGGAAAAGGTCTACAGTGGCCCCCTGATCACCGGGACTGATTGGTCAAGACCAGGGCTGTAGCTCACCTGACTCTGTAGTTCACAGCATGGCAGGCACCTCAGGAGGGCTGGAGTCTGAGCTCCTCCTCCCCCCGAGAAAACGTCCATCAAAAGGTTATTCTTTTGAGGAAGACTGTTACTAGAGAAAGGGAATAAGGATAGGAAGGAGAGGGTTATAAGGAAGCATAGATGGAAGATAGATCAAAATATGTTACATGCATATACGAAAGTACATTGAAAGCTAATATTTTGTAAAATTAATAGGCACCAGTAAAATATATTTTAAAAATTATTATTTGTTTCTTTTAAAAATTATATTTTAAACTGACAAATTACATTTGTATATGGTATATAAGATATTTAAAAATATGTACACATTGTTGAGTGGCTAAGTCAGGTTTAACATATACGTTACACATTTCTTATTTTTTGTGGTAAGCACATTTAAAATTCTTAAAAATTTTCTTTCGTTTATTTTCAAGTGTACACCACACTGTTACTAACTATTGCCACAATGTTGTACAATAGATCTCTTGGACTTATTCCTCTGTTTAACTGAATTTTTATATCCTTTGACCAATATTTCTTAACATTTCTTAGATTCTCAATCTTGTTAATTCTTAACACTTTTTTTTCTTAGAATTAAAAGAGGAATTGTGTACAATTCTGGTTTGTATGTTGTAGTTGCTTAATAATCCTACACTTATATTGCTGGGGGTTATACAACTGTATATACTATACATCTGGCAAAATTAACCTTAGAAATGTATTTGTTAAGTGAAGAATAATGCTCAAAGGGGAATAAAATCACAGAATCATTCCAAGTCTGTTGTGCTCATTTTAATACTTCAAGGAATGCCCTTGTTTTGGGGGTAGGAGGAATATGCTGTCCCCGGGTTTCGTGTTAACTCCTCTGGTGTTTATAGTTACACAGACTGATGCTCCTGTGAGCTTGCTGTGACCTTTTACACTCTGTCGGAATTTGTGCACTTTGTTGTTGAGGGTTTTGTGATTCTTGGTTATGTAAGTCGAAATGTGTGCCTTATACTTATTGCTCCTTTTTCCCTGTAGGTTACCCTCTTCATGCCCCCGAAGCCTACTTCCCTTATTTCAAAAAGCATAATGTGACTGCAATCGTGAGGCTGAACAAAAAGATTTATGAGGCAAAGCGCTTCACAGATGCTGGCTTTGAGCACTATGACCTCTTCTTCATAGATGGCAGCACACCCAGTGACAACATCGTCCAAAGGTTCCTGAATATCTGTGAGAACACCGAAGGGGCGATTGCGGTTCACTGCAAAGGTGTGTGAGCTCTGAGGGGCCCCTGTGCTCACAGTCGGGGCCGAGCCCCAAACCAGCAAATGATGGAACGCAAGACCAGCTAGTGCCTTAGAAAACATTGAGGCTGACATCTCATGAAACCAGAACTCAAACCTATTTTATCCCCTTTCCTAAAGAAAGGACTGCTTAGATGTGGACAGTCAGTGGCTCTGTGGCTTTCTCCCGAAGGCAGCTTCTCTGACGTGAACCTTTCCAAAGCCAGGCTCCTTGACACTGTGTTCCACAGTAAGGGGAAATAACAGCATCAGTGTTCTTGGCAAAATTGTAGGTGGGTAAAATTTTCAAGACAAAGATGTTCTTAGTTCCCCTTTCTCCTTTTCTCTCAAAATTGCTCATCTCCTGCCCATTCTCCTGCCACCCATGGGCTGTTCAGTCCTTCCATTTTATAACCCAGCCGTCTAGACGCCCATCCCACCGTCTGCGCCTCCCCTCTCCACTAATTTTGCTTCGTGGAACCCATGTCTCCTTGTCCCTTGCTAGGGGTCATCTGCTAGCTTATTTGCTCAGGATATGGGGCTGCCTCTTGGAGTGAATTGAAGGACTTTGTCCTCTAAGTGAACCCCTGCTCTCTGGGGGTGAATGCTTTTTAAACTGTAAGTATGTTTTAGATACTGCCTAGAACATGTGCTCTTTTTTCTGTGAATGGCATTTGCTCTAACCTCAGATGTTAGATTTTGCGGAGGCTCAAACTCCACCTTCCCGTGGAAGGTGCTTTCCAGGTGGTCTCCCTTAGGCCACCCAGGACAGAGCCTTCAGTGCCTCTCGCAGCTCTGCACAGTGCCCCTGGGTGGTGCTGTTCTCATGGTTTTGTGTTCCAAACCGGTTTGTGTAGCATTTTATGCTAATTGGCTAGTAGGTGTTGGGGATGTGACTGTTCTTTTCATTTGCCGAGTACTGCTGTAACTGCCTTATTCAGACGAGTGTGGCTTTGGTTCTGACAGAAATTAAAATACCATTTTGTAGGCCCTCGTTTCTATGTTTAAGATCTGAGTAGGTGGAGGTACTTTGCTGAACATGTGCACAGCAAGGGGAAGCTGCGTTTTCGTAGAGACTGGGAGAGTGGAAGGGCACAGCACGTGGCCCCTGATTCAGATGTGGGCTCCCCACGTCAGGCCTCAGCAACCCCTGGTGTAGCGCTTCTCCCGCCGCCGTCCCTGCTAGGGTTGGTTCCCCTTGTGCAGGACGCCCTCTCTCCGGGAGCCCAGGGGCCGGATTGTTAGGAAGGTGTTCCTTTACTCACTTGAAGGCACTACTCTCGGGTCACAGCGAGGGGTCAGTGAATTCACTTGTCCTGGGTGTGTTTCATTTGCCCCCTACATCCCATTTCGTTTGCTTTCCCATCCCATTTTGTTAGATTGCCCAGGTCCAACACCACGCCTGCATTTCACGTGTTTCAAATACCAGCAGAAACTGAGGGAACATAACAGCAACCACCGTTTACTAGATTATTCATATCTTCTTTTTCAAACTGTAGTTTCATGTCATTAAAAAAGTATCAGTATTTTTCCTGAGATTAATTTAGCCTTTTTCTTGAACAATAAGTTTTAGGACTATCAGGGCATATAGTTTATATGTGGATATGTGGATCAACAGGCCATGTATTGGCTCAACAAATTCAAGGGAGAAGAAATGCAAACCTTTCATTAAAACTTTCTGGATAGTGTTTCTCACTTAAAAAACCTTGTGGAAATAAAACTCTCTGGTGTTAAACATTCTTGTAAATATCCTTGCTTGACCCTGAAATGTCTATCTTTTCAGGAATAAATAAATGTAATATTGAAGACGTTTTATATTTTAGGATCAGAACTTTTAGCATGGAGGTGAATTCTTGTACAGGAAGGTCACATTTATTTGTGGTGACATCCTTTTGAGAGCCTTATTTTGTTTGCTGCCACTGGACAAACATGTAGGGTTCTCTTGTAAGGATTACACCTTTGATTTAATTACAGCTGTATTGCTTTTTTATTTTTTTATTTTATTTTTTTTTTTGGTACTGGAGATCGAACTCGGGACCTTGCACTTGCAAGGCAGGCGGCAGAACCACTGAGCTAAATCTCTGGCCCTAGCTGTATTGCTTTTAATAGCATACTTATCTACTATAGGCCTGTTAATTATTTTGACATCTGCCCTAATTAAGTCAGTTTAATTTTCTGGGAATCCAAGCGGCACTCAGTATTTTAATTGAACTGAAAGGAAGAGGGAGAGCGAATCTTATCCTGTGCCAAATGAACTTTAGTAGCGAGTGGAAAGAGAATGAAGATGTCACGGCTCAACATACAAAGTGTTACATACAAAGACAAACTAGAAACTTAATTTGCTAGCAATGTGTGAAAACCTTACCACAGTTATCTGCCATCCACTTTGTGGTTGGTAAAAAGAATGGCTATGAATTCTTGAAACTTTCTAGCACAAATAATAATCTGAGATACAACAACATTGTGACATTCTGGCATGCAATTATTGATGTTTTATAGGGATTTCAGAAAATGGCCAGAACGCTAAAGCAATTGGAGTTTGACTTGGTAGAAATAGAACACTTTCAACTTCTTGTCATGCTGTGCCAGGGAACCCTTTAATTATGAATGCTTTAAAAATTTTTAAAAAGTTTTTATAGAAACTTAGTGAAGTTTTCCTATTCTGTTCATTTGTGGTAAGAGCTCCTAACTATTGAGTGCTAAGTAGGTTCTTTTTATAGATCTAAATTATAGACTCTTTTTAAAGGGGGGAAGTAATTCAGTTTCAGAGAAATTTGAAAATTATCGGCAGCACCTCCCTGGTTGTGAGGAGGACCAAGAACCTAACTGAGGGCACCACATAGCTCCTTACAGCAGGAAGGGAGCAGTGAGAGAGTGTGTTTACCTGAGCAAGGCCACCTGCTCTCCACACCCTGCTTGGTGGCCCTGGAAAGCTCCTGCTCCAGGATGCTCATCTGTGTCTTATGTACAAGATTACTCAGAGTCTCATCAGGTATCTGGGGAATTGACAACTACAGCCTTTGGGTGAAACAGAGAGGCAGATTACTCTTACCTCTTGATATTAAAGGAAATGCCCCATGGAGACCATAATTAAACTTTACATTCTGACGAATGTTACGTTTGATCTGGGAAAAAAGGTACTTTAGGTGAAAACAGAGTATACACACATACCCCTCAAGTGATAAAATAGTGTATGTGTGTGTGCTTTAAAGAAAAAGCTAGTGGGAAGGGAATGCCAAGAGTCTATAGTCGTGAGCTTGACTCATTTCATTTTTATTTTTGATATGTGTTCTTAACTCAAAGAGTAATGTTCCCAATGAGACAGAATTCCTTTTTTTTTTTTCTTGGTGAAAACCTTTTTCTTTTTCTGTATAAAGCACAGATTTACATACAGTACATCCATAGATACCCAGTATATCTGTGACATTAAATTTCATGGGAGTAATTAAGATGAAATACCTAAAGAGGCACCTAGGGAAGCAGTAATGTAAAGGAGGTTATGAAACATTGATTTAAGAGCATACTTTTTCACATTTAAACATTTCTGAAACTCAAAGGGTAAATATGGAGCAAAACAGAGGGTAGATATTGAGAAGTAGGAACAACATGTTCCAATGGGAAGGGGAACAAGGGAGGGGGAAAGAGGAAGGGAAGGGAAAAGGATTAATTTAAAAAGAATGGAAGGGAAAAGATGGAAACAGTGTTTTTGTAAATGGGGAAGGAAAAAGGGTTAAAGGAGAGTAAGGGAATGGGGAAAAAAAGAATTAAGACATATTATATATTATGCACAGGTACAAATTCCCTATGATGAATGCGATGATTAGGTATGGCAAATATGTACTAATAAAAATAGATTTAAATAATTTCTGAAAGTAGGATGGATTTAAAAATTGATGGGTTGTCATAGTTATTATTATTATTTTTTTACTTACATAAACTTAAATAATGCTGTATGTTATGCCACCAGTGAATATGATGGTGTCTCAGGTTTGCTAAAATACTGTGTATTTCAGAATACTGGGAGACCAGAGAAGAGTCTCTTTCTTTATTTGACCAGGGGAAGCTCTCAAAAGGGCCCCTCAAAAACAAAAGATGATTAAACATATCAAAAACAGAGCCATTAACTTTTCCCTATTTCTTTTTCTAACTAAATGTCCTCATGGATAAAATGAAAATTTCATCACTTTGCTAGGTCAGAAACTTTGGTCACTTTTAACTTTCCTTGTGAGCCAGTCAAGATGTCTTTCTAATTTAGCTCTTCCTCCTTATTGCCACATGACAGTCCTCTCTGCCACCTTTGCTTTCTTGCCTCGACTTCCCAACTTCTTCTGGCCTCTGTCCTTTGCGTTCCAGCCAGTCTGCTATTGCCAGGCCCATCCATTTGCATCACATCACTTTTGCCCCCAAACATGGGGAAGCTTCATTTTACCCTTTCCATTCATTACACAAATAGGCTCATTACACTCGAGTGTAATACGGTTTTGGGACAAGGTGTAGTTTCAGTATTTTTGGGGGGTGCATTGGCTGTACTTTGTATTCCCTGTCTTGCAGCTGGTCTTGGAAGAACAGGAACATTGATAGCCTGTTATGTAATGAAGCACTACAGGTTTACACATGCTGAAATCATTGCTTGGATCAGGATTTGCCGGCCAGGCTCCATCATTGGCCCCCAACAGCACTTCCTGGAAGAGTGAGTATACTGTCTCCATTGTCCTGTGATGTCCTTGTTCCAAATCCTTTCTACTCCTCTTGTTCCCCTGTTTGTGGACTTTGTCAAGCCTGCAGTTATAAAAGAACTGCATTGTTAGAGAAGTCTGTGCCTAATAGAATGTTGTTGATCTGACAGCTGATGCATTCTAACTTTGTACCTTTTATATCTCTTCGATCAGGTGAGAGTGAGAAGAAAATCACAGAGCCATCTCTGCCTACCCTTTTTCTGTCATTTTCTATGTGTGATCTGGCTGCAGTGTAATTTTCTTATGTCATCCCACTTGGCACTTTTCATTCTTTTCTTTTGTTTGCATGTCTAAAAGCAGAATAAAAATTTTAAAAACACAACTAAGGTCAGTCAGTGATTTGGAGAAGATTACTGCTCTCCTGATAACTACTGAACTGCTCATGAAGCTGTAACTTCTGAATACACCCAAGAGGTTACCAAGGAAGGAAGAAGAAGAGACCTGGGTTGTAGCCCTGGCCCTGCCACTAATTACCTTAATGGCCATAATTTAGAAGAATTCTTTTAAATTTATCTGCTCATTCATTCCCTCACATATTTATTAATTAACTTTCTGTTCAACCCTAGCCCACTAGGTGGAAAGATTTAACCCATAAGTGTATAACCTTTTCTGAACCAGCTGCCTTCTCCTTAAGATATTAGAGCATACCATCAATTTACCCACTAATAAACTAAAGAGATGAAAGTAGCACAAGTTGATCTAGGTCCAGGTCCAAAATTTTTTATCAATTAGTGTTATCTTATACTGAAACTTTAATTATTTTTTCTTTTTATGTTGGGATGGCTCTACGTTGAATAGCGTTCTTTTCTATATAATTATTCCTTTCCATTTTAAATCATTTTAGATTGGTAAGAAACAACTGATGATGAATTTCATAGAAAGATACCCTAGCATCTGAAATGGTTAAGATTTGAGACTGCCAAGGAATTACTTTCATTGCCAATCCTAGAGGGAATCATTACTAAGGAAAGAACTGGTGAAAATTAAGCACTTACATCTTAGTTTAAAAGAGTGAGGCAGAAGTAATGATTTTTCAAGAAGAAATATGCGGGAACAGGAACATTAAGAAGAGAGAGATGTCTAGGTTTTTACCAGGTGGGAGTAGAAATAAAATAATTCTGTTATTAGAGCTTTATTCTTAATCAGATTCTCAGCCAGTGGTTTCCTTTATTTCTCTATTACACATTTTGTGTGGCTACATGGCATGGAGATATATGTAACAGCTGGGTGCTTATTGTACTAATTGATTATTAAAGTTAAACAACTGGCCTTAGGGTTAAAAAAGAAGATACTTCAAGCCTAGTTCTTAAGCCATTTAATTCATTTAAAAATTAATGTTTGGAAGCATATTCACTCAAGAGGTGATATTTCTGATAATCACCTGGCATGAGGATCTGCTCAGTGCAGCTCACAGGTGAGCAGATACAGCTGAGAGCACCGCTGGCCAAGGGCACTTAGTTAATCTGGTGTCAGTAACCTGTTCACTCCATGCCTCTGAACGCCTTTCTGCTTCCATTTGGTGCCTATTTTCTCTACTTTGTCTCAAAATAATATCAGAAGAAATTAGGGCACAGGCACTCTAGAAAGGGGTTTTACATTTATAGGTACATAAGCTATAAAATTTAGGAAATGTCCTTAGCTGTGAGTCATACTATAGTTCTCCAGGTATTTTGTCAGTGAAAACTAAAGTTTGGGAATGATCTAGTTGTATAACTCCAGAATTAAAGTAAGTCACAGTCATGCTTAGATTAGAATTTTCCTGAAGGTAGCTTTCCTTTTGTCTTAGGCACTATACCTTTTATATTTTATGGTGTTTCTTATAGCTCTAGCTCAGTGGCTGAGCACTTACATAGCATTTCAAGGCCATGGATTCGATCCTTAGCACCATTTTTAAAAACTGAAAAAAAAAAACTTGCATAGAAAAATGCCTGCTTTTCACAGGGTTTCTTAGGCTTTATTATTAGATTGCCTCATTCAGGGCAGTGGACTGTGGCATATTCTGCTAAGTATTAAGCTTGACTTTTTAGTGTCTTATTCTTTTCTCCTCCTTTCTTTTTTCCTATCCAAGTCTGTTTCTTGTCATGTCCCACGGGAGAAGACATGGTTCAGTGTGTTAGTGACACCCATTCATCCACTGAGTGTTTATCGAGTATACTGCATGTCGGGCAGTGTTCTTGGTCACGGGAATGCAGCAGTGGCTTTGGGAGAGTGCCTGTCTTTCTAGTAGAAGGAGCTCAGGGGTGAGGAGAGCTGTTTGGATTGACTGATCAAGGAGGACTTCTCTGAGGAGTGTAGAGACGTAACGCACAAGAAGGAGCAAGTTCTTTCAAAATCTGAATTGTGTCCCATGAAGGTCCTGATGTGGAAACATACTTCATGTTTTAATGGCCAGAGAGAAGTTAGTGTGGGTGGAATATAATAAGCTGAGCATGTGTGGTCGGAGAAGTAGGCTCAGTGAAGTTTCATAAAGTGAAGAATATAGCTATGTAGGAAATAGAACATTACCAGCCCTCAGAAGCCCCTGTGTCCTCGCATTTGCTACCTATCCTTCTACCAAAGTAAGCATTATCCTGATTTGTAATACCATAACTGAGCTCTGCCTGTTTTTGAAACTTATATAAATGGAACCATGCAGTATATGTGTCTAGTTTTTCTTCCATGTTATCTTTGATGTTGTTGGTAGACATACTTTGTTCATTTTCATTTCTGTGTAACATTGGGTTGTTTGAATGTGTGACATTTTAATTCTGTTGATTGATGCTTAAGGTGTTTCCAGTTTTTGGTTGTTTTATATATTTTGGTACACTATCTGTTGGATGTACAGGCACACCTGTGATTGGAACATGTCCTGGCCCGCGGGTAAGTCAACGGAGACCCTAGAGGGGGAGTGAGAATGACAAGGGACAAGAGACACGAGAGATGGAGACAAGACAGGTTTCTGATCAAGTCTCGTTTATTGCGGAAGCTGCTACAGCATATATACCGTAGGGCTAGAGGGAAGGAGCAAGGGGAGGGTACTGGGGCTACTTCCTTGTTGCCGGGTAGACTTGCAGCAGGCCCAGACATGCCCGTAAAAGGCACTCAAGAGTTCTAGCGGGGGGCGGGGGCAAGGCCCCCCACAGGAACAGTTGGCTATCTGTACATTCAGCTTTAGCAGGTATCATTCAACAGTTTTCCAAAGTAGGTATGCCTGTTTAAATTATCACCAGTGGCTTGTTTGTCTTGAAGTCAAGCCATTATATTTGTTTGTGGTGATAATTCACATTGTAGTTTTAATTTGGTTTTACCTGATGAGGTTTGAATATCTTGTCATGCATTTATTGGCCATTTGTGAATCTTCTTTCATGAAGTATTTTATTCATGTCTCTTACATATTTCTCTATTAGATTGTCTTCTTATTGATGTGTAGGGCTCTAAATATTCTGAATACATTTATCGTGAATATTCTATGTAATGCAAGTACATTCTCCTACTCTTTCATGAACAGGATATTAAAATTTCAATGCAGTCTAGTTTCATTAATCAAAGGTAATGCTTTCCATGTACTACTTAAGATATCTTTGTGGTAGGACTACTATCTAGAATATATAAAGAACTGAAAAAAATCAGAACCCCCAAATTAAAAAACCCAATTCAAAAATGGGCTTCTGAAATGAACAGACATTTCTCAGACAAAGAAGGAAAAGCAGCAAATAAACATATTAAAAAGTGTTCAATATCACTGGTCATTCAAGAGATGCAGATGAAAACAACACTGAGATTCCACTTCACCTCAGAAAGAATGGCTGCTGTCAAGAAATCAACCAATAACAAATGCTGGCGGGGCTGTGGGGAAAGAGGGACCCTTCTCCATTGCTGGTGGGAGTGCAGGCAGGTGCAACAGCTGTGGAAATCACTATGGAGATACCTCAAAGAACTAGGACTAGAGGTCCCATTTGACCCAGCTATTCCCCTACTGGGAATCTTCCCCAAAGAATTAAAAGAATCATACCACAGTGATATATGTGCACCCATGTTTATAGCGGCACAGTTCGTAATAGCTAAAGCTTGGAAACAGCCCAAATGCCCATCAACTGGAAACTGGATAAAGAAATGTGGTTTTATTTAATAAAATGGAGTGCTACTCAGCCATAAAGAATGAGAAACTAGAGACATTTATAGTATATTGAGGTCATACTCTTAAGTGAAATAAGTAGGACACACATGTGTAAATACCAAATAGTTTCTCTAGTGTGAGAAACTAAAAGTGTAAATAAGGATGAAAATGATTAAAATGAATAATTGATAATTTGAAATAGGAAGAAAAGGTCCAGAGGGGTAGGGGAAGTGTGAGGGGAAGGGGAAAGGAAAGAAGGGAAAGGAAAAATTATGAGAAAAAAAAATGGAAACAAAGTCTTTGTAAATAGGGAAGGGTGGAGCGGGTGAAGGGCGCATAGGTAATGGGGAAAAATTAAGAACCAAGATACATCATGTACAGGTACAAGCACCCAAGGATAAATGTAAATGTATTGTATACCTAAAATGCACCAGTAAAAGAATTTAAGCAAAAAAAGAAAAGTTATCTTTGTGGTAATACATGCTTCTATTCCTAGCTTTTTGGGAGGCTGAAGTTGGAGGATCACTTGAATCCAGGAATTCAAACATAGCAAGACTATTAACAAAACAAAACAGAACAGAACAAAACAAAACAAAAAACCCTCGAATTTTGTCAACTCCAGAGTATGAGTATATTATGTTACCTTCTGAAAGTTTTAGTCTGACAGTTCATCAAGAATTGCTTTAAAAAACTATGTTATGAGATAGGAACCCTGTTTTTTTCTCCATATGGATATTTATTTGATGCAGAACAATTTATTAAATAGAACACTGTAACTTTTTTGGGAAGAAGAGGAATAGCAGAGTCAAATGAATTTCTCTTTTTAGCTTTTTGAAGAATTTCCATAGTGGTTGTACT